TATATATATATATATATATATATATATATATATATATGGATATTACATTTTATTAAGAATTATTATTAGTAGTTAAAGTAAATATATTTTTAGTTTCTGAAAGTGTAATATTTCCTTATTTTTGTCCATATTCATGTTTTTTAAAATTTTGTATTTATATTTAACAAATTTAATAAGAACTAAAAACACGTGATCTTTGTAATTCTAAAAGATAAAAAAAAAAAAAAAGATTCTGCGACTTTCCTCGAGAGGAAGGGTGTCGATCTGAATTTTAATGACCCGTTCAAGCTATCCTGTCACAGCTAATTAAATGGAGGTCAACTCAACGATATTTTTTGGGCACATGACATAACCCATAACGAATTACCAATAATTTAAGTTGAAAATTTGTCTGTTAATTTGATTCTATATTAATTTGTATGTATTGAGGGTGCAAAGTTGATGATATAGATGATTTTTTAATTGAATTTTAATAAACGAGTATAAAAATATTATCAATTATAATATTATAATAAGTTATTCAATTATTCATTTAAAATATTAATTTAACTTATTCATTAATAATTTTACATCGATGTATATTTAACTCATTTTTTAAAATGTATTGTATTATAATTTCCTCAAATTTTATCACATATCAAAAGAAACTTCATTTTTTGTCAATGCAAATTTTTTTTACTAAAATTTTACTCTTTTGGAACACTAAAAGAAAACATTCCTTAACGATTAAAAAATGGAAATAAGATAAACTATTTTTAAATTATTTGAATTAATTTATTAAATGTTCGATTATATAAACACAAACATGTTTGTTTATTTATTAATTTTTTACAATACTATATTAATGAGTGGAATTCAAGTTTGACAACTCAATAGTCTAATTTCAACTTCCGCATTATTAATTTTGGACATTAATTGTGTCCTTTGTATTTGTTTTCTTCCACTTGCATCAACTGCATGTACTTTACTTCCTCGGCGTAATGACTATTGGATTCACCATCTTATATAAAAATTATAGTATAATATTTCATGATCATATCTATAATTTTAATATGTTTATAACACTTCACACATTTTATTATTCTACATTTGATAGAACACATGTGCCGAAAGGGATGGTTTTTGTAGTTTAAACCGCAAATCTCAATTCACATGATCCCTCAGATTTTGAATATATATAAAAAAATCATATTTGTTGATTTTAAATATAAGTAAATTTTACTCTATTTAATGTTGTCATCTTTAAAATAGTCTTTCATATAATTAAGATAGTATTTCTAATGCCTTTTTTTAATCTTATATGAAGCTTCAAAAAATGAGTTTAGAAAAATAAATTATTTTTTAGTCAGGATTAACAAAATTAAATTATGTAAAAATTTTATTAATTAGCTTAAATTATTTTTTTCTTCTTATTTTCAAAATCGGAGGAAATAATGTCTATTGATATTTTCTTATTTATTTTAGTACGAATAATCATTTTAAAAAAATCTTGCTTGTAGTTTAAAACTTAGAACATATAAAGAGTGCATCCTAGTGTTTCATAACCTTGACTTATTGTCGTTATATTCTGATGTTTAAATCATTGATTAATGAGACAATCTTTGTACACAATTAATGTCTTATATTGATAAATTATTTACAGTATTTGGTCATCTATTGACCAACGCCTTACACAATAATATATAGAAGAAAAATGTTAGCAAATTATGGAAATAAAGTCAGAAATATATCAATTTATTAAAACCTTTAATTCTTAGTTTATTTTTGAGAAAGTACACTAATTCTGAAGAAAGATGTTAACTTATGGAAACAAAGTAAAAAATATATCAATTTATTAAAACCTTTAATTCTTAGTTTATTTTAGAAAATACACTAATTCCTTAGCCTCAGTAGCAAAGTGCAAAAATTGTATCTAATAATATCTATTTAGTATATTACCAATTTGTCAATACCTTCTTAGTATACTTTTCAAAGGGTACACTAGTCCACAACTTTAAACACAAAGTGCAAAGAGGCTTTACATCACCATCCTCGTGTTTCAACCGAGTTCTCTACCAAAATATTTTCGATCGAGAGGGTGTATTGATCATGATATTCATCTAATTTAATTCCATGCATGCTCTCTTTAACCTAGTTAAAACATCTTCATTAGTTGGATTTTTAATTGTATGTTTTAAAATTTCAACGTGTTATCATATTATGATTGAATATGCCCAACATTGTCTTATAAATTTTAATTCAACATGATCTATTTGTTTTATATAGTATATATCAGTTCTTAATTTAGCCAAATTCAATTTCAAATAAAAGTCCTTGTAGTTATAATGTTTTTTTTTTCTCTCGATAAAATATAAGCATGGATAAAACTGTGATAAACCGTCCTACAATGTATACGAGTGTTTTAGTTTGAAAGATATAAATATATATACAAGCTAGGTTAGGAGGAAGAAATACTTTACAATTATTGGCAAATTGTTGTAGTTGTTAGTTGAAAAGTGGTCAATTAAGGGGAGGCTTCTACTTCTTCTTCAAGGATCAAGCCTCCATTAATTTACACGTTTTCATTGTCATCGCTTAATATTCGTTTTCATAGAGACGTGATCAATTTTCTCTGTTCTAAAACCTTTTCATTTCGAATAATACTACGCATGATAATATGTTCTCCTGATTAATCATATCGAACATAATTGTAAATAAAAAACTTACAAAATAACATGTATTTTATAAAAAAACAAATTATAGAAAAATAGTATCCAATTAGTTAAATTTTACACTTTCGAGTGAAGGTTAATGTAACAGCCCAAGCAACCCGCATGTGGATATTGTCCATTCTTTTCACTGCCCGGTCCTACATAATATTTTTCAATATCTTTTCCTTGGTTTGAGAGAGATAATTCAAGATTTATTCGATCGGCTTATTTTGCTTGTACTCGATTTCGAGTCTCTAATTCCAATTCAAGGGAATTTTTTTTTCGATGGTCTAAAAATATCTATTATTTTTTTGTTTCTAGTAATGTTATTTTTATTTTCACTAACATTTTGATTTACATAAAAAAAAAATTAAAAAGGAATTTGATTGGTATAACCCATGGATTATTCCTATATGCATTATAAAATATCAAAAATTTGGAAAAGAACCAAAATTCCGGATTCGATTTGGAACGATTTAGTATTTCTCTATTGATTCCCATCCAATCGAAATACTTTCTATCCAGATTTTTCTCCATATCTTTAATACCATCTTTCACTAGAGAATTCTTGATAAATATATTACCTATTATCTCTAATATATCCAAAAATTCTTTTTTATGGGTGTTGTAATTAGAAGAAATCACTTGGTTTTTATTCACTTCAAAAAGGTCTAAATCCATAAATATATGAGTCTTTCTTATCTGCATAATTGATAAAATTATAGGATAAGAGATCATATGTATATTGTTTTTAAATTTTTTTTAATGTGTATACTTGTTGCTTTTTGTAAATAATTAGTGGCTTTTTTCATATGAATCCCATTTGGTTAAATCTTTATGTTTAGTTACATGACATTCAATGATTTTTTCTCCATTTTTGTGGTACTAATCTGGACCATCTACTTTCATATAAGTAATATTGATAATAATGATCCCTTAACAAATTTGTCCATTGATTAATTACCGAATTGGGAGGGTTCTTTTGTTTTAATTTAGAATGAAATATACCTTGTACTCCAAAAAAAGAATTCTTTATTTCGTTTTTAAGAAATAAAAAATTTCCATGATATTTAAAAACAGATTTTAATTTATATAGGTTAATGTTAATAATCTGGGTTTGTAATAATTTTAAAAATACATATGCTTGTGACAAAAAGGAGACATTACAAGAATTCTGTGAATTCATATTGCTAGTATTGAAATATTTGTGTATAATCGAAATAAAGCGAATTACACTTTGATTTGTTTTATCAGTTCTTTCGACATTTGCTTCATTATTGTAAATGGATTTTTTCCATTTTTTTTTTGTTGATTCAACAAAAAGTTGTGTATTCATCCTAGGAATACAAATGATATATCGAAATATATCTACGTATATACTTTTTATCAGAAGTTTTAAAAAAGAATAAGATTTACGAGTTAATCGAACATTTACCCTTGTTTGTAATATTTTTTTTTCAAATTCTAGCCTTTTACTATCATAAGTTGTTTTGTTAGAATGAATATTTGTCTCTGAAATTACAAGTCCTATTTTATTTTCTTCTTTTTTCAGTTTTTCTATTTTTTTTCTAACAGCTTTTCTTTTAGCATTCATATCCTTTATTTTTTTTTTTGTCAATGAACAATTTGCCAAATTTTTTGATTGAATTGGAATGGTTGCTTCGGAAATTTTTCCACTATTCTTATAGATTGTTGAATGTTTTTTGCTTTCGATTAATTCATCTATTTTTTTTAATTTCAATTTAATAAAGATATTTTTTGAAAAGTTTGTTATTTTTTGTGTTATAAATTGAATACGTTAACAATCTTCGCATTGCGAATATTCATATTTTAGTTTGGATGAAAATTAGTAAATTTTATTTTGTGCAATAAATTATTCTTAAATGACCAATAAATTTAATGAAAGATGGTAATTAATGATACAGACTTATAGGTTAAGAAAGAATTTAACTGCTATTCCCATAATAAAGAAAAAGAAAAATACAAAAAATAAAAAATACTTTATAAAAAGAGCAACGATAAATATTTATATATCATTAAAGGTAGCTTTGGTAATAAAAAATAAAAATATTTTAAAAGGTATACGATTTTAAAATAATATAAAAACTTAAGAAAAATTGGATTATGTCTAACTTGATCAATTTTCCATGTGAAATCATTTTATAATTTGTATACTTTTTATCATTTTAAATTTTTGTTTGATGGATAAATTCATACTATATTTGTTTAATACATTTTATTGTACAATTAAAATATTAAAACTAATAATAGATTTTGTATATATTAAATAGATATAAAATAAAAAATAATTTCACATTTTAATAGGATAAACGAACTTTTTTATATTCATTAAAAATATGCATATATTGAGTAATAAAAGATTGATCATTTATAAAAATATACGGTTACATAAAAAAAAACTATATTTTTTTTGTAAAATTAAATATAATTTACTAATGCACAAATACAATAAAAAACATAGTACATTTGACATGTTTATTTATTTTTTATTTTAAAATATTATTTTATCATGGATAAAACTAAAATATTTTTTCTTATATTCCTAGCATAAAAACTTTCTTCTAAACAATAACAGGCAGACGTTTTTCCTTTCTAATATTAAATAGTACTCTCTAATTTCCTCATGAATATATTTTTTTTCGATGAATTCTCATGTATAAATTTGTACCTATTGAATCTTTGTATCACATTTTCACATTAAATTTAAAAAATAAAATAAAGTTAATGATAAAAATAAGATAATTAAGGTAAGATATTTTTTTTATTCTCTTTCGGTGTGATGGTATAGCAAAATAATTTTTTGTTGTTGTCCTTATTTAGCTCGAACTGGATTACTTATAGTGGGAAATATATAATCTCTAAAAGAAAAGAAGATTTTTTCACTCAATAATAAATACACTTAATTTGCTTGTGGAAACTGCCTAACGATAAATAAAAACAGCTTAATTAATAATGTTGTGAAATATATATGGAATGTCTTAAGTTTTAACGTTTACAAAAACTCACTTCAACGTTGCTTTATTTGAAAGAACAATACTTAAGTTTTTCTCTTCACTACAAAGACATGTTCATTAACAATGTTTGTTCATCACTACTTTACACGTTACTCGTACGTTTTTATTTAATAATATTGCACTCTCGCCTGCACAACATTAATTATGATGGGGGATCATGATTTTTTTTAAACAAAATATTTAAACATTCACTGATTCTCAATCTTAAGCTCACCAAACTAACTTTTTATTTAATTAATATCTTAGCCCAAACATTCAAAAGTCATTTGATTTTCGTGACTGGTTCGTTTTCAAAGAGAAATTATGTGAAAAATTATGGATTAAAAAAATCTGTTTTAGTCTTGTAATCTCAGTCGTAATTTTGTATTAGAACAGAATTAAGATCGACTGTTTCAAAAACATGCACAATTTGGTGAATTTATATATGTGTATCTCTTTATCTTTGAGTTTCTTCAGTATAACAAACATCTCTCCACGTACTTAACTATTTCTAAGAAAATAAAATAAAAAAACATCCTTGTTCCGTGCTTGTTTGAACTTTGACTCTGTTAAAATAACAGAACTGTATTTTAAAATATAAATATTTTGATAAAAAATGTAAAAAAGTATAATTATCTTTAATTTTTAATTTATGTATCTTAATTCAAATTCTGAACAATTGTTTTTTATATTTATAACAGCGTCATCGTTCCGTAAAAATGAATGCATGTACAAAGTACAGTATCACTATTTAAGCATTTATTTAGTAAGTTAACCTTTTATGAATTATGATTATTAGATTTGAATAGAACGTTGATTTAGTAAACCAGCAGAATGTTATTGTCAGGCATACGTAAGAATGTCGTGTTTCTTTTAACCTGCTCGGCCGTTTATTTTTTCCATGCGTTACTTTCTTTGACCTTCTTCAATTCTGTTATTTATTAAGCCCTAAAAAATGGTTTACCATAACATGAAATAGAAATCAATGTTAACACAGCGCATACGAAAACGTGCATGTTGTGCATCCCCTATCGCCTATCTTATTATAACATTTTACCTCCTTTTATTTTACATGAAATTATATCACTTATTATAATTCTTGAATTTTGCATCCGTATAAAATAGAAGAAAAGATAGTTGATCTTTTAGGCGTTTATATAGTGTATAAAATAAGCGAAAATATGATGTTGAAAATTGAAAGGGTAGAGTAGAGGTGCTTGGTTTGGAAAAAATAATAATAATTGAACAAGTGCATAATGAGTATAGATTATAATAATGTTAATTTAGGGAACACGTTGGAGGCCTTTGTTCTTATCTTTGTGTGTTGTGATGCGGTGTGCTTGAAAAAGTCAGGGTTTCATACCCACCTTCCTAGTTCCTCCCAAAACATAAGTGATAGGTGATAGGTGATAGGTGATAGGTGATAGTTGTCTCTACAAAACTGAAAAGATCCTGTCTGAGAGCGCAAAGGGGTTGAAAGTTGAAAGCATGAAGAAGGGGAAGCAGAGCAAGCTGGTTCAGATCATAACGACGCCGTTTAGAGTGTTGGGGAAAGCGAGGGACATGTACGTGAGGAGCATAACGAAGTGCGGTCACAACATGAACTATAGCAACCCCGTCGACGCGGCGGGGCGGTTCCAGGCTTTGCCAAGAAGCTACAGCGCTGCCACGTCACGCTCTGACAACGACGATTTCGCCGAGCTTTTGAGGGCCGCCTCCGCCAGGACTTTGGTCAACACAATCGATATGGATTTGGTTCTCAAGCAGCAGCAGCAGCAGCAGCAGCAGCAGGCCCAGGCCCAGGCCCAGCCCCGCCCCGTTTCTTCCAATGGGTTGCCCAAGTCCACCAGCGTTGGCATGGGCCGGATCGACGAGGACTCGCCCTTTGATTTGGGCCAAGGGGAGCTTCCCGCCCTGCCCAAAGCCTACCCCAGAAGTAGAAGCTACGCTGTTGGAAAGACAAGTGCTGTTTTGGTTTAGCTTTCTATGGATACATAATTGCTTAATACATACATTCTGGTAATTTCAAATATATATCTTGTCATTTTGTTTTTCTGTAAAGTTTTTTTTATCCCTTTTTATTAATAATCTTATGCTGTAAAAGTAAAATACTTATCGGCTTTTCACTGATTCATCTCAAGAGTCCAGAGCTATTTGTCCCTCTATAATGTTCATCATTTTTGTTAACTACCCCATTAGCTTTGCTCCTGTTTTTCTTCTTTAGTATCTTAAAATGTCTTCCTAATAATTGTTATAAAATATAAAATAAAAAAGCATGGAGCGTGTGAAATATTTTAATAAAAGATTATCGTTTTAGATTTGCGTTAACTGAACGGCACTAGACGGCGAAAGAGAATTGATATTATGGAACTTAATTGTTTAATGGAGTGGGATGAAGGAATGAATTAAGAATGAAAGAGAAGAATAATGAGGGGTATTTAATAGTAGCATTTTGGTTGGCGTAAAGTGTAATAAATGAAAGAGAGCAATTAAAGTGGGTGACAGCACTACAGAGAGTTAAATATATATTTATGGCTAATTAATATGCTTTCAAGAAATTATGGCTAAAGTTGGTGTATTACCTCTAACTGACCATCACTTTTTAACATATACTGTAACAAATATTTCAAAATGAATCGAGCTCACATCTTTTAATATTATTTTTAATCAGTACTTTTTTTAATTATTTAACTATTATACTTAAAAACAATATATTTATTATTGTTGTTATTAAATTGTGTGTAGAGATAGAAAGTATAACATTTTGGATAACGACTTATTACCTCAATTCTTTTATAATAATTTTTTAAACATGTGTTATAGTAATAAAATTTTCTACTTTTTATAGAATGATTTTAGTATTTTTTTATTATAATTATTTATTTTTACTTCATAATAACTACATATGTAGATTAATCAAAAGTTTCCGGATAAAAGGAAACTGACGAAATAATGTGTTCAGGTTTGTATGTTACGAGTTTAAACTAAATTAAATATGATTTATTTTAGTAGTGGATTAAAAAATAAGCTCAGGCTTTATTGCTCATGACAACTCACAAATCACTATGGCTAAATGGGTTAAATAATTATTAAGTGTTTATTCAGGTATGAACTATTGTATTGATTTTTCATTTATTAAAATTATAATGATGATATTAGAATTTAAAATTTAATATTATATTTATTTTTTATTTATCAAAATTCTAATAATGACATTAGAATTTAAATTTAAGATGATATGTGTACTACTTAAAATTTAACAAAACAAAATCTGGAGGACTTCTCCAAAATACATTGGAACCTAGGTTCCTTACACCCCAACTAACAAGCGTATGAGCTACTGAGTTTATTTATCGAGGAATATGACTTACGTAAACTACCCAATCCCGAGCTAGCAATCGCTGAACACGCCGAATAACATCATAGTGCTTGTGCAGATACTCCCTATCCATTGGCCGATCATGAAACAACTTAATAGCTCCCAGGCAGTCACATTCGCAGCTCACCTTCCGAAACCCACCTTCCCAACAAAACGAGAGACCCTCCTCCAAAGCCAACAACTCAGCACGTAACGCATCACCAGGTAAGGCGCCTCGCGAAAAGCCCCCCCACCACATACCTGCCCAATCACGAATTACTCCACCCATTCCCATAGCAGAAGTCTCACTCAACCAACTCCCGTCCGTGTTTAGCTTGACCCATGGGTGCTCCGGAGGCCTCCAAAGGGCTTGCTCCACCCATAAACGCCTCTTAGCGTTATACGCACTATTCTCCACCATAGATAGTATCACCTTCCGACGGACCGCCGAGATTTGCTAGAGCTCATCATTAAACACCATGTTATTCCTAAAGCGCCAAACCCACCACAAGGTGATGGATAGCGTAATAGCATCCTTGTGCAAGATAATCCCCTTTAGCCACTGAAAACAATCCATTACAGAGAAGGACCACCCCACACTGCACCCGCCAGACATCAGCACCTCTCGCGAATATGGGCAATCCCGAAGAGCGTGTAAAATGGTCTCGTGAGGGCAAGAGCAACGCGAGCATGCACCTGACTCTGCCAACCTCCTATCCGCCCGAACCTGATTCGTTGGGAGGGCTGAATGAAGGCATTGCCACAGAAAGAACTTAACCTTCTCAGGGATCCTTATCCTCCAAAGCTTCTTCCAAACTGCATCCCCCTCTGCTGCCAACCTCGGGGTTAGAAAACGATATCCAGATGCCGCTGTATAGCAACCCGAGATAGCACTCCCCCACACAAAGTGATCTAACCCCAAAGGGGAATTGACAACACTCAACTGTTGGACCGAGTTTATCAGCTCGGTCGGAAGAACCGTATACAAGGCATTGAAGCTCCATTCTCCACTAATCTAGTAGTCGGCAACCGTTTTGTTGGTGTCTGCAATGTGAACAAAAGGGACTTTCCCGCACCAAAGCCCATTACATGACCAATCCGTGTACCAAAGTGATGAGGCGCCCGAACCTAGATGAGGCTGGAATCCCTCACGGAGTGAATGAAGGGCCTTCATAATACTCGACCAGATTGGAGAAGCACCCCGCTTATTTTGAGCACACAGGATAGAATCTCCATGTAGATAGAGGTTGCTGAGGAGTTGAACCCAAGGCTTCTGCGGGTCCGAAAGCAGATCCCAAACTAACTTCCCAAGGAGTGATACATTCACCCTGGGCGCCTCCCTAACCCCTAGGCCACCTAACTCTTTAGATTGAGTAACAACATCCCAACTCACTGGAGACCAAAATCGTGTATTATCAGCCTTTGCCCAGAGCATACGACGGCAAGCCTGATCAATTCTATTACACACTGCTTAGGGGAGCCACAATGATTGCATGCTATAAACGAGAATAGAGGAGATGGTAGACTTCACCAGACACAACTTTCCTGCCTTATTGAGGAGGTTGGCCTTCCAAGCCGCGAGTCGACCCTGAATCTTATCCATCACATCATAGAAATCTGCGCACCTCGGCTGACCATGAGTTATGGGAACACCCAGATACTTCCCAATCTGAGCCGTATAGCTAATCCCTAGCAGTCCTTCCAACGTATCAATCCTCCTCTGCGAAACCCTTCTAGAGCTCACAAACTTGGACTTAGTCAAATTGACTCTTAAGCCTGATGAACGCGAAAATTCCTCCAAGAGAGGTGCCACCAAACGAGCCTGGTCCTCTGAAGCTTGACAAAACAGTAAGATGTCATCAGCAAAGAAAAGGTGTGAAAGCGGTAGCCCCCCAGGAGATAGTTGAATCGGTTTCCAAAGACCCTCATGGAGCAACTCAGATATCCTAAGGGATAGGCGCTTCATGCAAAAAACGAACAAATACAGAGATAATGGGTCTCCCTGCCGAAGGCCTCGGGACGGGACAAATCACGGTAGTGTGCTTCCATTCCAAAGGAGGGAAATTGACGAATTCTTCAACCCCCACATGATAAGTTGGATTATGATCGTAGGAAACCCAAATTGCATCAGCGTAGACTCCAAGAACTCCCATCTGACCCTATCGTATGCCTTTTCAAGATCGATTTTTAAGGCCAAGGAACCCACACCCGAGCCGTCTTTCCGAACGAAATGAAAGGCTTCCTGAGCAATAATACTGTGGTCACGAGTCCCCCTCCCAGGGATAAAGCTGCCCTGGAAAGGCCCAATGACGCCCTGCAAGAACGGTCGAAGACGAGCTACAATCACTTTATAAATAACCTTCCAGGCGACATTGCATAAGCTAATAGGACGAAATTCTTTGAGGCTAACTGGGTGGTTCACCTTCGGAAGTAACACCATTTGCGTCTCCAAAAGTGATGTGTCCGAGTACCCCAACTGAAAGGCATCCCTCACCGTACGCCATAATTCATCACCCACAATAGGCCAATACTGCTTGAAAAAGAATGGTTGAAACCCATCTGGCCCTGGTGCCTTGAACGACTTCATGCTCATCACCGCCCGGCGAACCTCCTCCTTCGTGACTAGGGCAGTTAAGGCAGATCGGGCCTCAACTCCCAAGCCATGTGAAATCCCAGCATGCATGTCTAGAGACCCTTGATCGTTCTCCACCGAGAAAAGCTCCTTATAGAACCTGACTGCCTCAGTTTTCATGACCACAGGGTCTGTATGCCAAGTTCCATCTGGTAAAAACAACCCCTGTATTTTGTTCCTCCTTCTTCTCGCGAGTGTTTGAGCATGGAAGAAGGACGTGTTGCGGTCCCCAAACTTCACCCACTTCTCTCTAGATTTCTGAAACCATAGATACTCCTCCTGAAGACAAGTTTCGTCCAACTCCATTTGTATAGCCTTCTCCAAGCGCGACAGGCTCTCTGAATCCCCTATCTCCAGTTGTAGCTGTACCCCTTTAAGACGACGTTGGAGAGCCTTCTTCCTAGTAAGGATATTCCCAAACACCTCTTTGTTAAACTTGAGGGCATATACTTGAACAGCTTGTAGCCCATTAGCAAGGGTCGGCGTGCTACGACACCACGCCTCCCTAACGATCCGCTCAAAGTCTTTATGGGTGGCCCATGCAGCTTGGAACCGACAGGGTCGATCCAGAGATTTGTCCCTAGAGCCGTCACGCCGTAGTAAGAGTGGGCAATGATCAGAATAGACCGGGCACAGATTCTCAACATATGCTTCCGGAAACATTGCTTGCCACGCGACATTACACACTGCTCGATCTAACCGCTTTGCCAGCACAACCCCTCGTTGATTTCGATACCACGTAAAGCGAAGGCCCTTAGCCCCCATGTCGAGAAGATTGCAATCATTAAGAACCTCTAGAAACTATGATGCCCATGCCATCGAGAAACGACCCCCATGACACTCCGTTGACAACAAAATTTCATTAAAGTCCCCAAGCACTAGCCATGGAAGCGTAATCCGTCCTCCCAACTCCCGAAGGTGAGCCCAAACCTGTTGTCTGAGTTCCACCCGAGGATTAGCATAAACGGCAGTACAAACCCAGCTCTTGCTCCCTTCAACAACTGTAAACGAGATGGCCTGAGGGTGAGAGGCAAAGTCGGAGGTGGTAGCAGAGCAAGACAAGGCCATCAAAACCCAAATACCCCCAGAATTCCCCGTAGCCTCAATGCTATAACACAGCTTATAGTCCAAATTTTTCCAAAAGGATTCCACCGAAGAGAACTGGCAATGAGT